TGAACACAGTCAATTCTCTTCATTCACAGATTCTGAATTTGTGAACCTGCTGACATCTGTCTGTAACCCCAGAGTTGAACACCCATGCTGCTTTCACTGTCATTTGATAGCACGCACAGCGTCAAAAACCTGAGTCACTGTCCCAGCTGAGGCTGGACGAGGCTCTGCCTTCTTGTTCTCGCTCCCAGGTTACAGGTGTGCCTGCCGTGGTCTCTGAAGTACCACACTGTTCGCAGTTCCGGGTTGTGTTGGTGATGATCTCACTGTTAGAATGGCTCCCTCGCCTGAGGCTGACGTACCGTGCAGTGTTCTGGTCAGCCTCTTCTTTTGTGGTTTCTCTTTTACATCAAACTGAAAAGGGTCCCCTTCCCCTGCTGCGATCACAAGAGAAACTCTCCTATGGTTTCTTCTGGTGCATTCATGGTGTCACTTTCTTATATTTAAACCTTCTATCCATCTGGAATTTATTTTTGGGTAAGTTGTGAGGTAAGGATCTAACTTTATTCTTTTCCAGGTGGCTACCCATTTATCCCAATGAAATGTACTGAATAATTCATATTTCTCCACTAATTTGAAGGGCCCAATTTCCTTGTTACTTATCTCAGTCTAAACTTTTAACAATCAACCCTCAATATATAAGAATTTTATAAAATTGTTTATAAAATAAAATACTTCTTATAAAAAAGAAACTAAAGATTTTTCACTGATTTAAATAAAAACTGGTTTTATAAAATTAATGACTATATGCTAATGACAGGATGCGAAGAGTAGAGAAATATTAATGAGTAGTATGCACAGAGTAGTATGCAATAATAGAGAATTTATATAAAACTAATTTTCTCACCCACTCTCCTCACATACTGTCCCTTTCATACAGGTGGATACTGTTAACAACCTGGTGTTTATTCTACCAAATCTTGTTTAAAAAATGCACTCATACAAACACATATACATACATGTGTGTGCATTTGTGTATATCTTAATTCTGGTCTTCATTGGACTTTTCTTAGAGATCTTTCCACATCTGCACAAATAGATTTTTGTTGTTTGGTTGCTGAGTCATATCTGACTCTGCAACACCATGGACTATAGGTTGCCAGGCTCCTCTGTCCATGGGATTCTCCAGGCACGAATACTAGAGTGGGTTGCCATTTCCTTCTCCAGGGGATCTTCCTGACCCAAGGTTCAAACCCACATCTTCTGCATTGGCAGGAGATTGTTTACCACTGAGCCACCTGGGAGCCCTGCACAAACAGATACACCTCAGTCTGGAACAGCTGTGTCATGGGCCTTGTTGGGGCTGTATCATAATCAGTAAGACCAACCCAAATGACAAACAGGTAAGTTAATTCCAGCTTTTCTCGCCTAGCAGGTAGTGTTACAATAAGCACTGTGTCTACACCTTTGACCATGTGCAACTGTTTCCAAGTGGCAGCCTCTTGCTAGGGGAGTCACTAGTGAATGAGCTTAACACCTGACATTTAAGAGAGCGCCAGATCAACTTCCAGAACATTGCAGGAAAATGTCCATTTCTGTATGCTCTTAGCAACACTGGTGCCCTTTTAAAAAATTTTGCCTAAATGTAGGCAAAAAATGGACTGTTGTTCTTCAAGTGGTTGGTGGGATTGAGCGTCATGTCATCAAGGCAAGAATACTAGAGTGGGTTGCCATTTCCTTTTCCAGGGGATCTTCCTGACCCAAGGTTCAAACCCACATCTTCTGCATTGGCAGGAGATTCTTTACCACTGAGCCACCTGGGAAGCCCTGCACAAACAGATACACCTCAGTCTGAAACAGCTGTATCATGGGCCCTGTTGGGGCTGTATCATAATCAGTAAGACCACCCCAAATGACAAACAGGTAAGTTAATTCCAGCTTTTCTCGCCTAGCAGGTAGTGTTACAATAAGCGCTGTGTCTACACCTTTGACCATGTGCAACTGTTTCCAAGTGGCAGCCTCTTGCTAGGGGAGTCACTAGTGAATGAGCTTAACACCTGACATTTAGAGAGCACCAGATCAACTTCCAGAACATTGCAGGAAAATGTCCATTTCTGTATGCTCTTAGCAACACTGGTGCCCTTTTAAAAAATTTTGCCTAAATGTAGGCAAAAAATGGACTGTTGTTCTTCAAGTGGTTGGTGGGATTGAGCGTCATGTCATCTTACAGACTATCCCTTTCCTGTACATGGATGAGGTGTGTTTGAAACTGTAACGCTGGGAGAAGTCTGAGTACCTTATTCACTAAGAACAGCGTGCCCCTAGTCAGAACACCGGGAATACCGGCAGTGCTGTGGACACGTGGAGCTGAAGCCTGGGGGACTGAGGGACAGAAGCGCTGTGTGTAGGTGGGTCCCCAGGTGGGGCTCCAAACCCTGAACTGTGCTCAAAAGTCATGGGTTTCAGACCCTCCAGCGCGGCCTGTGGGGCTTCAGGCCTGCCCTGCACCGCCCCTCTGAGCCTCAGCGTCTTCAGCTGTAAAACCCCTCGTACCCAGGGTCCCGCCACCCCCTACCTGTGCTCTCGGTGAAGTTCCCCAGGCTGAGGATGTCGTTGAGCTCTTGGTAGTGGTTCTGTTTAATGTAGGTGGTCTTTTCTGGTGTGTCCTGCAGCTGCATGGTGACCTCCTCCAAGTCTTTGTCCAGCTGGAAGACACAGGCTCCAGCTGAGTGAGAGCTCCTGCCCTGGCCCCAAGTAGGAAACTCAGTTTTCCCAACTCATTGCTCTAATCTGGGGGCTCACAAATCTCTTAAGAACTCCTGTCAAAGAATGTCTTGAATCGGGCATCACTGGACCCCATAGCCTGGGCCAGGTGGGCAATAAACTCCTGTCAGATTCTGTGTAGTTTCTGTTCCCCCAGTTCTTGCTGCAGCCACAGTGACAGGAGATGGGGCTGCAGCATCACGCCGTGGTGATGCTCTGAGCGATGTGGGGGGAAGTGGCAGCCCGGGGAGTCCCTGCCCGAGGCAGAAGGACCCAGGTGGGAGGATGGGCCCTGAGACCCGCCCTGTGGGAGGTACCTCTGTGATCTTCATGCGCAGGCGATGGTTTTCTGACTGCAGGCCCTCCAGGCGGGATGTGCTTGCTTGGTTCACGCTGGTGACTGAGGTGGAGGTTTTAGAATCTTCTTTCTTCTGATTCTGAGTGAACTGGAATCGTCTGTTCTGAGTGGCTGCGTCTGGGTTTGTTCTCAGAGTAGGCTGCAGCATCACGACGTGGTGATGCTCTGAGCGATGTGGGGGGAAGTGGCAGCCTGGGGAGTCCCTGCCCGAGGCAGAAGGACCCAGGTGGGAGGATGGGGCCCTGAGACCCGCCCTGTGGGAGGTACCTCTGTGATCTTCATGCGCAGGTGATGGTTTTCTGACTGCAGGCCCTCCAGGCGGGATGTGCTTGCTTGGTTCACGCTGGTGACTGAGGTGGAGGTTTTAGAATCTTCTTTCTTCTGATTCTGAGTGAACTGGAATCGTCTGTTCTGAGTGGCTGCGTCTGGGTTTGTTCTCAGAGTGATGAGCTGCAAGGACAAAGGAGGGCTGAAAACAGGACTCTGGGGTCTATGCTTCCCCCGTGTCCCTCCAGCTGCTTCCAGGGGCCCTGTGCCAGAGGCAACAGGGGACCCTGGGAACCACACAGCCTGGGCGTCTGGAGGCCAGGCTCAGGCTTTCTCTGTCCTTGTGTTTTGTGTGTGCCCTTGGGCAGGCCCTTCCTCTTGCTAAGTCTTGGGTTTTTCCTTGCTCCTAGATGTCTGGTCTCCTGACCCTGATTCCGTGAGAATCCCAGCCATCCTGCAGGGCCCACCCCGTGCCTCTTAGCCTCATTCCACCTCAGGCCTTACTCCACGCAGAGAATAAAAGCGGCCGTAGGCGGCAGCTGTGAAGACAGCGTGCAGGCTTGTGCTTGTCAGAACCAGGGCCACAGCCTCTGTTCGCCGGGACCTCGTGGTTCAGAGGCAAGGAGCAGGGATGGAGAAGGGATCTTCCCCAGGCCAGAGTGCTCACCATGCTGCTCTGGGCTTGGGCTCAGACCCAGGGAGGGTCTGTGGAAGGATGGTGAGGATGAAGGAAGTCTGGGGAGAAGGGATGGCATGTGCAATCTAGGGAGGCCTGGGGCTCAGGCGCTTATAGAGAAGGGCGTCTGTGTGGGGACAGGGCTCTCTGGGGGAGACAAGGAGATCGATGGTCCTGGAAGGCAGGCCCGTGGTGGGGACCCAGTCCTGGAGCCAGGAGCGCAGTGAAGAGCNCAGGCGCTTATAGAGAAGGGCGTCTGTGTGGGGACAGGGCTCTCTGGGGGAGACAAGGAGATCGATGGTCCTGGAAGGCAGGCCCGTGGTGGGGACCCAGTCCTGGAGCCAGGAGCGCAGTGAAGAGCTAGAGAGGGTGAAAAAGCAGTGACCCGGTAAGAGCTGGGCTTAGACTCAGACTCATCTGGCATCTTCCACAGGGTGGAGAGGAAGTCAGCGTGCAGGCAAAGAAGCTGTGGTGTTAACCTGGAGCCTGGGAAGGTGTTGCCAACTAAAGGAAGGAGTGTGTGCCAGAGGCATTCTAGAACAGAGCTGACACTGCCTATGTTCTGGAGGCTGCAGGAGCTGGGGCACCCCCCAGGTCTCCCTCCCCCTTTTCTAAGGCAGATACTCCCTAACTCGGGTCAATGGCTTCTCAACTGTTTCTGTGTCCTGCTCCTCCTTTTATTCTTGAAGGTCAGGTTTCCCTCTACACAGATCAGCCTTCTGCAGGGGTCAAGGCCTCTGGGTCACCTGCCCACTGCTGGATAGGATAATGTTTGGAAAATATCTCTCAGGTCAGCCCTTCAGATGAATGAAAAATATAAGTGGTTATTTAAAATGCTTACTCCTTTTGACCCACTTACTACTTTTGACCCACAGAAGTACTACTTCTGTGACTCCACCTTAAGGTTATAATTAGAAATAAGGAAAATGTATTACGGAGGAAAAAAAGTTCATTTATAATATAAAAATCTGGAAGGAACTGTAATACTCACCAGTAAGGGAGTATTATTTACTCACTTGTGGATGAGTCAGTTACAGAACTTGCCCTCCATGATGATCATAAAATGTGGGCCAGTACAAAGGGCAGAAGTTAAGAAGGCAAACTACAAAGTGTATGGTAATTGTAGCTATATCTGAAAAAGCGTCACTGCCTAAATCATTAAAAAAAAAGACTGTTAATCAGAAATACTAACAGTAAAAAAACCAAATCATAATATTACCAGTGATGATTTTTGGGCAACAGTAAGGGAGTATTGTTTACTCACTCGTGGATGAGTCAGTTACAGAACTTGCCCTCCATGATCATAAAACGTGGGCCCGTACAAAGGGCAGAAGTTAAGAAGGCAGACTACAAAGTGTATGGTAATTGTAGCTCTATCTGAGAAAGTGTCACTGCCTAAATCATTAAAAAAAAAGACTGTTAATCAGAAATACTAACAGTAAAAAACAAATCATAATATTACCAGTGATGATTTTTGGGCAGCCGGACTATGTAAGATTTCTGAAAAATCTGGTTTTGCTTTTCTGCATTTTCCAAACTTTCTGTGATGTGAATTGTGGTCATTATTTTTTTTTTTAAAGTACATAAACTTTCAGAATGTGGAAGAAACATAGCAATCCCCTTGTGACGGAGCCAGAGGCCAGACACCAGGGTGGGGAGGGTGGGGGTTGTTAGTGGCCGCCCCGTACCTTTGGCACAAACACCAGGCAGAGGGTGATGGTGCTGCAGAAGATGATGACCAGGGCCACGATGCAGAACTGCACGTTTGGCTGGTCCCGGGTCAGGAAGGAAACGGCTGCCCCGATGATGCACATGATGCCCACATTGTAGACACTCATCCCGATGTACTTGCTGTCGTTGAGCGCGGGGATGCTGACATTTCGGGTCTCCCAAGCCAAGAAGCAGCCGAACAACTGGAACGGCGAACAGAGAAGGGGGTGGTTGTTAGCAAGTGGCGGCATACACGCCTGCTCTGAGAAGCTGCTGAGCTGAGGGTTTTTCTGTTACTCCTGCCTATGCTGAAGTGAGGACCAGCAGCGGGGGAGGCTGGGGGATCGCTGCTGGCCAGGTCTTCTGGATATCACAGTCTGCCCCACTTGTGGCCCTGGGTTGAGTCCTGCCAAGGAAATGCAGATTGGGGTGTTACACTGTCTGCTCTCCTTGACTTCCACCACTGATTACACACAGATTCCCAGGAGGCCACAGTGGGAAGGAGTTTCAGACAGTCTCAGCCACATCCCCCCCTTTACAGAGAGCTGGAAGGCCCAGAAAGGCTGATGGGACTTGCCCAAGGCCACAGAGCAGTATGGTGACAAAGGTGGACTGTGTCTTTAGACATTCAGGCTAGTCTTTTTTTCTGTTAAACAAGGCAGAACTCATGTGTCTAGGACTTGTATTATCCTCCAATGCACCTAGCCACCCAGAGTAGTGAGACCCCATTTCCTAGCTCTCCTTGAAGCTAGATATGGCATATGACTGGGTTCAAGACAGTGCCATGGAGGTAGAAGTGTGCATAAGCTCTGGGAAATGTCTTCAGAGGAGACGGCTGTTCCTCTTCCACCTTCTTAGTAGATGGAGTGGGATGTGATGGCAGGAGCTTGAGCAGTCATCATAGACCATGAAGTCATCTTAGACCACTGTGTGGAAGCTATATGATAAAGGTGAGGGAGACAAGATGCAAAGGGCTCAGATTCTAGGAGCCTCCACACTAGCCCTTCTGCTTACCTGAGGGAAATTTATCTATTCCTAAACCCCTATTATTGTGAGTTCTCTGTCACTTGCAGTTCTGAAAAGTGAAAGTGTTCAATGAGTTGTGTCTGACTCTCTGTGACCCCGTGGGCTGTAGCCTTCCAGCCTTCTTTGTCCATGGGGTTTTCCAGCAAGAATACTGGGGTGGGTTGCCATTCCCTTCTCCAGGGGATCTTCCCAATCCAGGGATTGAACCTGGGTCTCCTGCATTGCAGGCAGATTCTTTACCATTTGAGCCACCAGGGAAGCCCTCACTTGCAGCTCTATTCCTGATCAATACATTTCCAACAGAAATGAACAGGATAGAAGTCAAATGTGATCTGAAGTAGGATATGCTCTGAAGTATGCTCATCCCAATGTACTTGCTTTCATTGAGCATGAGATGCTGAGGTTTCAGGTCTCCCAAGCTAAGAAACAATGGAACAACTAGAACAGTGAACAGAAACGAGAGACGGTCGAGGGTGTAGCCTCCCCTCTGAGGGTTGTCTGAGGGAAGGGCAGGGTGCAGAGAAAGTGCAGATAGGGTGCTGGGCAGAACGGCGGTGTGGGCGGGAGAGCTGTCCACAGCTCTTGACTGGTGCAGGGGCCTCAGCTGGGGTCCAGACCCTCCAGGAGGCCATCCTACAAAGCGTTCCTTTCCCCCGGCTCTATCACTGAAGACGTTTGGACGTCCAACAGCTGCGTGAGCCAGTTAACATCCTCCCAAGGGCCTACACTGTCTCACAGGGCTTCGATCCAGATGAAATGAGAGGATGGATGTGAAAGCATTTCATAAACTGGTATATCCATTATAAGTTCATAATTATTTTGTAATTTGTATATTTTTACAACCATAGTTGTTTTCCTCTCCTCTAGGTGTGTTATCTCACAGACTGTTTAATTGTTATTTTTAATTCCAATCAGAATGGGAACCAGAATCCCAGGAAGCAGATACTGAGAGAGGGAAGGAAACCATACTGCTGAAAGCCAGCTTCATTCTGGCCCCTTCAGTCCCACAGCTGGATATGGCTGTCTGCATCCTAGAGGGGAGGAAGCAGAGACCAGGCAAGTCCACAGACCTGCCTGGGTTCTGTTGGCAATGTGCATTAGGGCTGGAGGATTAGGGCTGGAGGGGTGCCGGGATGCCTGCTCTCTGACAGGGTGTCTGGGTCCCTCCTCTCTGGCACAGAGGCAGACAGTGGCGTAACTTCCCTGTGGAAGGATCTGAGGGTGCAATGGCCAGTGTCCCGACCCTGAAGGTATTTAGGTGCGGGCGTGTTTTGCACAAGATGTGGAGAGAAGATTCAAGGGTCAACCCAGGATACGGTTGGGTGGAACTGCCCTTTCAAGGCCTTCCCAACCTTGAAATGCGACAAGGTGTGAGGTGGGCTTGGTATGTGATCTTTGTATAACAGATGAATGGAGTGGAAAGAGTGTTGGGTTTGGAGCTTACCAGGTGGCTGCCAGCAAACCCTTGAACTTGTCTGAGCCTGACTTTCTGCGTCTGCAAATGGAGATGGTTCCACTCGCCTCCCATAGGATGTGAACGTGCATTGGATGTCAGCAGACTAACTGTCGGAGCAGGACGGTGGCAGCCGGGAGGCACACCCACAGGCCTGGGGCTCATTCTGCCGCCTACCACCAGCTCAGTGACCTGGGGCAAACCAAGCCCCAGTGTCCCTACCAGTGAAGTGGGGATGCTGTTTGTACTTCTCTTGTATGGTTGCCGTGGGACTGAACTGGGCCGTGCCGGGCACTGAGAGTGGCAGAGAGCACGTGCCTGGTCCTGGGGCTTCCATTTACTTTTACGGTGACGGAGGCCCCTAGGAGAGGGAGCTCTGCCAGCGACGTGTCTCCCCCACTGTGCCTGCAGCTCCGCACCTACCATGAGAAGCCCCTTATAGGCGTAGACGATGCCAAGCCAGATGGTCATGTGGGTGTTCTCACAGTGCTCCAGGAGAGGCCGGATGGAGATGTCCCGTCCTGCTGGGTCCGGCTGTGCGAAGAGAAAACAGAAACCCAGGGATGGCGCTGCATACCCTCCTGACAGCCAGGTTCCCTGTTCATAGCCCACTTCCATCCCGGGAGCCACAGCCAGGACTACCACCCAGGAGGCCTTCTGAACCCCATCTCTTGTCATCATGGGGCTCAGCCCTCAACCCGCATCGACTGCTTTCTGTTTGTTGGTTGTGTTTCTCTCTACACCTCGGTTATCTGAGTTTTTAATGCCTGTCCAACTTGAATCAGAGCGAAGAGAGTAGGGACTGGGTCATGCCTGTGCCCACAGTACATAGCACAAGACCTGGCCCAGAGCAGGCATCCATCCATAACATTTGTTAAAAGAGTGAAACCAAGAATGAGGCAGAGTCAGGTCAGGAGGCTTCAGGTTTCTCTGGAATTAACTTGGGTCGTTGGAAATATAGTATCTAGTGGCTAGACCAAGCATGGGCCTGCCAGGCCCCCTTCAGGAGATCCTCTTGCCCACCACCTCCACGGAGGAAGCGGTGGTAGCAGCCACGTCATGTACCACACGACGCAGTCTGGGCCAGGGCTGATTTTACAGGGAATGGGCCCCTGAACTCAGGCAGGCGATCCAGAGGCTGCACTTTCTAGTGCAAAGGGCTCTGCCTCAGAGGGTGGTAGAGAGGATTCAACCCAAGCGTCCTTCTCTGAGGAAAGTGAACTGAGAATCTCCAGGGGAGAATCAGCCAGATGGTGGTAAGAGGAGAAAAATACAACCAGAGAATGAAAAAATATAAACTGTGCATATATTTTTAGTGAGCCATTTGAGAGTTAAGCTTCAGACATCATGGCCCTTCTTCATCCCTAAATAGCATGTATTTCCTAAGAACAAAAAGATTCTCTTATATAACCACAGATGCCTACCAAATTCAGGAAATCTAATATTGATACAGTATATTATCTAATACACTACCTATTTTTAAATTTTGCTGATTGGTCCAGTAATGTCCTTTAAGGACCCAGTCAAGGACCATGTGTGTGTCTGTAGTCAGCCTTGGAACCAGCCCTTTCTCTTTCAACCTCAAGACCTCAGGAAGCCTAAAAATAAACCCACATACAACTACAATCAATTAATCTTTGACAAAGGAGGCAAAAATATAAAATAGGGAAAGACAGTCTGTTCGGCAGTGGTGCTGGGAAGGTTAGCTGTATGTAAAACAATCAAGTTAGAACACACCCTCACACTATGCACACAAAAAAACCGAAATGGCTTAAGATTTAAACATAAGATATGACACCATAAAACTCCTCGAAGAGAACATAGGCAAATCATTCTCTGACATAAATCATATCAATGTTTTCTTAGTCTCTCAAGGCAGTAGAAATGAAAACAAAAACAAATAGGACCTAGTTAAGCTGAAAAACTTTTTTTTTTTTTTTAATAGCCAGAGAAGCTATTAAAAAAAACCCAGGAACTTCTGTGGAGATCCAGTGGTTAAGACTCCAGTCCCACTGCAGGGTGCACAGGTCTGATCCTCGTTTAAGATCCTGCATGCTATGTGGTGCAGGCCAAAATCCAAAGAAGCAACAACAAAAACCCCCAAACAGTCTGTGGAATGGACAAAAATATCTGCAAATGAGGCTACCAACAAGGGCTTAATATCCAAAATATATAAACAGCTCATACATACAATTCAAAAACAACAGTGAAAAACCTCCAAACTGAATCAAAAAATGGGTGGGAGACTCTAAGAGACATCTCTCCAAAGAAGACGTATAGAGGGCCAACAGGCATATGAAAAGATGCTCAACACCACTGATTATTAGAGAAATGCAAATCAGAACTGCAGTGCGGTGCCACCTTATACTGATCAGTATGACCATCATTAAAAAGTCTACAAATAACAAGTGCTGGAGAGAGCAGAGAAATGGGAACCCTCCTACGCTGTTGGTGGCAATGTGAGTTGGTGCAGCCACTATGGAAAACGGTATGGTGGTTCCTCAGAAAATTAAAAATAGAATTACTCTCTGATCCAGCAATCCCACCCCTGAGCATACACCTGGACAAAACTATAATTCAAAAAGATACATGTACTCTTAAATTCACAGCAGCACTATTGACAATAGCCAAGACATGTCCAATGGTGGATGACTGGATAAAGAAGATACATATATACAGTGGAACAGTACTCATAAAAAAGAAGGAAATAATGCCATTTGTAGCACCACGGATGCAACTTGAGATGATCATTCTTGGTGAAATAAGTCAGAAAGACAAAGACAAAGACAAATACCATGTGATATCACTTACATGTGGGATCTAAAATATGGCACAAATGAATGTATCTACAAAACAGAGACCAGCCTTCCGGTTGCCAAGAAGGAGGGTAAGGGGGAGAGGGATGGACAGGGAGTTTAGGGCTGGGAGATGCAAACTATTAAGTTTAGAATGGATAAACAACAAGGTCCTATTGTATAGCACAGAGAACTATATTCCAATCTCCTAGGATAAACCATAACAGAATATAAAAAAAGTATGCATGTAACTGAGTCACTTCACTGTACAACAGAGGCTGGCCCAGCACTGTAAATAAACTTCAATATAAAAAAGACCTCAGCCCATGTCAGTCTTTCATGTCATTGGCATTTCTGAAGATTCCAGGTTATTTTGTAGAATGTCCTTCCATTTGGATTTGTCTGAATGTGCTTTCATGACCAAATTCTGGTTTACATTCTTGGCAGGAATTCTGGGTAAGTGATGTTCTCATCTCCTCAGTGTTTCAGATCAGGGTCACTTTATGACACTTTGTCCCATTATTGGTGATGTTTGTGATCATCTGGTTGAGATGATGTCTACCAGATCTCTACACTTCAGAGGTACCTATTTCTCTCTTGTAATTAATAAATAATCTGTGGGAGATACTTTGAGACTGTGTGAGTATCCTGTTCCCCCACAAACATTAACTCAGTGGTTGCAGCTTCCATTGATAATTCCTATTTTGAGTCATATTACTTTGGTGGCTGCAAAATAGTAATTTTCTAACTATCATTCCATTTAAGTACTTGGCAATATACTGTTAATAAGATATTTCCTTTCCTGCCACTCATTCATGTATATCCGTGTAGACTTATGGGATCCTTTTAGATTCAGTGTCTTATAATCCATTACTGTTACTCATTTTGTTTGAAATTTTCCACATTTGGCCAGTAGGAAACCCCTTCATGCTGCCTCCTGTGGTTTTTCAACATGTCCTCATCATTTTTTGGGCACACTTTCCTACTTCTAGGCACAAGATGTTCCAGGCTCTCCTTATATTCTCCTCGCTCTAGTCTTGGAATCAGCCATTTTCCTGCGGAGTTCTGGTTCTTTTTAGCAGAGAATAGTATTTAGAAACATATCTGGGTACTTGATGTGCTCACTGTTCCTGGGCTATCATTACTTCTACACCCTTTTATCTGTCTTTCTGTCTATCCATCCATCCACCCACCATTACTCTAGCTATCTCTTCATCATCCATCTATAGGTATAAATAAAACCAAATACCACTGCTTCTTGCTTACTCTCCCCCATTCCATATTTGCATTTTTATTCTCCCACAGTGAGATCCCTGGTTTCTAGCAACATCAAGATAGTCACCCATTTCCTCAATTCTATAACAGACACAAAATAGTTTCAAAATTGCTACATCTATACACTACCAATAACAAATTTACTATGCTGAAGATTTCCTTGTAAATTTGTTTGTAGCACAGATCCCACTGAGGGTATCTCATCAAAGAACTGTGTTTTGGATGTTGCCTTTTAAGGCCCATGATAAAGCCCCACTTCTGAGGGTGAAAAGTAGGCACCCCCCAAGGGTCAGTCACAAGGAAGAAGGGGCATGTTGGTGGGATCCAGGGATGGGAAGGGTCTTGGTCAGGTGGAGGGTGGAAACCCTATTTCTCTTAGCCCTGCTCACTAGGTTTGACCTTCAAGGCATGCCATTGGGTACCCGGGGAAAGATGATGCTCCCACATGGATGCAGGAAGAGCTGGGAGGGATGGGGCCAGTGGACTCAGGCCATTTTGTAACTAGATCATCCAGTGGCATGCTCTCAGGATGATTCCCCTTTCATTGTCCCAAGCCACAGAAAGCCTCAGCTTAGCCTCTGCAGTGTGGCCGTGGGGAGACACCCCAGGGTGAGGTGGTCCCCAGGATCATAGAGATGCTAGGTCTAGAGATTTCCTCTCCACTGCTACCGACCCGGATTCCAAGAGTGGCAGAGGCTTCTTGATGTCCTTTCAGTGTTTAATCGAGACTGGGAAAGGACTTGGCCCCAAGGTCAGCAGTGACCTAGTGGCACAAGTTGGTTTCTCCAGTGTCTGACAAGTAAGCAGACCTCAGAATGCAGTGCACAGGCCCACTACAGGCTTGCGCGAACAGCAAGCCCGTTAATGATGGTTGTGTCGTTGTTCTACAATGAAAGGTGGTCATTTATGATGAACTCTTAGATTCTGGGTAGAAAGGATTGATTCTGTCATACTCCATTGTTCAATGTAATGCACAGTCCATTCACGGGAAGCTGACAATGACTGCTTGGCTTATGCACCCCCATGGACAGGGCTCCTTCCTCCCACTCTTGGTGAGACGGCTGCACAGGTTTTTCTCTTTTCTTTTTTAATTGAACCAGAACCTTCTCCTATACCCCCCACCTCTGATATCAGACTCTCTCCTGCGTCTGCACGCTCTGCCTCAGGAGGGCAAGATCTAAAGTGAGGCATGTATCGTCTCTCCCCACGACTCGGCCTGGTCCTCCTAACCTGCTCGAGTTTACTCTTGATCGGCAAACCTAGACTGAGCTCAGCACTTCAGGTGGTGTACCTTGCTCCAGATCCCCGTGGCTTTCTAAGTAACTGCCTTCCACTGGTGAGTCACACGTTCCTTACGGTCAGGACCCCCTAGGTGGAGACTTCCCTAGCAGTCCAGTGGTGAAGGCTCCATGCTCCCAATGCAGGGCACCTGGGTTTGACCCCTGGTCAGGGAACTAGATTCCACCTGCCGCAACCAAGAGTTCACATGCCACAATGAAGATCAAAGATCCTGCCTGCTGCCAACTGAGACCCAGCCCAGCCAAATAAATGTCTTTTAAAAAGAGCCCATGGGTTGTTTTCATGGAACTGCAGCTAGCTCTGTCTTTTCCCTTTGGCAGCTGACATTCCAGCCTCATTACCCTTTGCCTTGTTAGTAACCTTCTCCTCATGCCCTTCATCCTGGCCTGCTTTCCCCTCTTCGAATCCTGAAATCCAAATTCTTGTATCTGGCCTTTCAGTCCCCCATCCACCCCCATTTACCTCAAGCACAGCCTTGCCTTCAGAGGTGTGAGGGAAGCAAAGAAACAAGGGTCTGCCTAGAGTCTGAGGGTCATGGTTGGTAGCAATGGTTCTACGCCATCTCCCAGCATGCAGGCACTGACGCAGAAATAGTGTATCTGCTGGTCATAGTGCCTCTCTCACAACAGCCCCATGTCTGTGCACACTGGTCACAGATCAGTGATCTGGGGGTGGGGGGGGTTTCATGAGTGATGAAGTTTATGTACTCACGGGGCTGGAGGACAGGGAGTCTGAATACAAAGTCAGATGAGCCCTGCATTGAGTCTCGAAGCAAACTATAGGAGCCGTGCCTTTTCTGGTTCGATCCATCCTGACAGTGCCTGGGGCTGGAGTTCAGAACACTCTGAGCTGTCACACATTCCTGACCGGGGACGGGAGAGCAGGGGACCTGGGCGGCTACCCGAGTGCTTAGTTGGGGTCCTTGGCGTGCACCGAAGCGCCGCTAGAGGGCGCCAGAGAACCGCGTGGCGGGTCCGCCCTGCAGCTGAGGCCCACCCTCTGCTGGGCGGACAGAGCTACTCCTGAGGCTGCGTGGGGCCACACTGGCGAGCTGTCAGCAGCATCCTGTGCTATTCAAGAAGGCACTCACCTGGCCTTAAATGAGGCCAGACTTCAGGCACTTTGGAGGACCTACCCCTCTACCCCGCCCCCCTTTGGGGCAGTGGGTGAAGCAGAGCTGAGGGGGATATGGGGGGATACTGGGGAAGGAGGGGTCAGAGGGCCCAGGCTGTACCTGACCATGGCACTCCCCCTGCTTCTAGCGTGCTGGCCATGCAGGCCGGCATCAGGGAGCACAGGGCATTGACCCCTGGGATTTGATGTCAGGGCCTGAGCCAGGATTTCAGGCCCACTTCTCTGTACAGTTGTGGACTGTATTATTTCCACTGGCCTAAGACTGTTTCCCTTTCCCCAGATGACTGGCCTACAGGAACTTTCAGCTTGCTTTTCCCTCTCTTTTCACTTTCCTTCCTTCCTTGTTTTTCACCGGGGCGATTTCCTAAGTAATCATTTATTCATTCATTGCATAACTATTAAGTACTACACTGCCACCTTCCAGGTAACTGTTCTGGGCATGGGGATGGCAGGACTGATGAGAGCCGTGTCCTCAGGGGGCTTCCGCTCTAGTAAGAGCAGGACAGTTTCATGAGAGAGGACCTCAGAGGGGAATGGGCTTCCAGGCAACTGTTCTGGGCATGGAGACGGCAGGACTGATGAGAACCGTGTCCTCAGGGGGCTTCTGCTCTAGTAAGAGCAGGACAATTTCCTGAGAGAGGACCTCAGAGGGGAATGGGCTTCCAGGTAACTGTTCTGGGCATGGGGACGGCAGGACTGATGAGAGCCGTGTCCTCAGGGGGGCTTCCGCTCTAGTAAGAGCAGGACAGTTTCCTGAGAGATGACCTCAGAGGGGAATGGGCTGGCCTCAGCCAGTAATAGCCGCCCTGCCACCAAGAGCTGCCTCGGCATGAGTGACAGGTGTGCTAGTTGTGAACCCGTGAGCTCTATGCGTGTTACTGAAGGGGCACAAGAACCTGAGAAGGTGTTGGTCGTTTTACATGAGGAAGCAGGCACCAGGAGGTTAAGAAACTTGCCCTAAATCTCCAGCTGTTAAGTGTCAGAGCTGAGATTCAAACCCCGGTTTGTCTGACTCCCAAACCAGTGTTAGTGCTTTCCTGTCTGTGTGCGCCCCCTGACCGGCCCCGCCTCAGATTCCAAGGAGACAGTGGGTCTAAACCTGCTCTCAGGGAGAAACGGCTTAATTGCTCACCATTCACCAGGGGCCTCCCTGAAGCCCCCGGAGCTCTGGGAAGGCTGTGCTCTGGTGCTGCGAGAAATCAAGCTGATAAAATGCTCTTTCTGCCTGACGGGGCGCAGTGCCCAGCAGAGCGGCCACGCCTGTCTGTGACGGCCGGAGGCTGCACGTGCTCACACCTGACTCTTGGTCAGCCCGCTGCTCAGCAGGAGGCAGGCAGACGCGGCCCGGGAAAGCCTCCCCCATCTGTGCAGTGAAAGGAGAGCGGCTGGCCTGAGAGTCCTTCTGCATGATGCAATTGTTCACAATGTAGGTCAGTGGCCCCTGCAAACATCCGGCTCTGTCAGGCCGCACAAGTGGAGCAGCAAGGGTCTGAGCATGGCTTGCAACCTGGAGGCCTGAAAGGTCAAAGGGCTGCGTCCTGCTCTAGACTCACCGGGTGACCTTGGGCAAGTCCTCACCTTTTTCTTGACCTCACCTTCCCATCTGCAAATGAGCCCGGGGGTTAATTCACAGTACAGTTAATGTAAGCCTGGGTAACTGAGAGATGACGCTGTTTGTCTCACATCAAACAAGTGTGTTTGTCCTGCGTCCACTCAGAATCGACTTGGCCAGTAGTTCTGTGCCTGCTGTGTACCGCGCGCTGCCTGGATGCCGGGGCCTGGCTGTATAAGGATGCTTGTCTTCTTGGAGCGTGCACCCTGGGAGGGCACAGCAGCATGATGAACCACAGGCCACAGGTCCAAGGAGAGGGGTGAGAAGTGTTCCTAAAGCGAACACAAGGCTCTGGGGCTACCAGCCGGAGGACCCGCTTCAGATCAGGTTGTCAGGGAAGGCTCTTCTGGAGTGGCGATATTTAGTCTGAGGCCTGAATGGTGGAAAGACCAGTCAAGTGAAGCCCTTGGGGGAGCGCATCCCTGGGAAAGGGAACAGCAAGGTGGCAGGACCTGAAATGGCAGAGACTTTGGCACGTTTTAGGAACCAAAAGGAGGCCGGTGTGGCTGGAGTGTATTAAGTGAGGGGCCAGCATTGCTCCTCACTCCTTATATAATGTGTACACAAACCACCCCCAGGGCTTGTTAAAGTGCAGACGGCTCAGTAGGTCTGGGCGGGGTGAACCTCAGTAGCTCCCAGGGATGCTTGATGCTGCTGGTCCAGGACTGGCCTTTGGGCAGCAAGGCCTCGAAGGATCTTAAGCAACAGGATGACATCTGGTCCTCAGCTTAGCAGGCCTGTGGTTAAGAATGCAGACTTCTTGAAAAGGGAACCCTCCTACACTGTTGGTGGGAATGTGAGTGGGTGCAGTCACTGTGGAGAACAGTGTGGAGGCTCCTCAGAAAACTAAAAACAGAATTACCACATGATCCAGCAATCCCTCTCCTGTCCTGATACCCGGACAAAAGATACGTGCACCCCTGTGATCAAAGCAGCACTCTTCACAATAGCCAAGACACGGAGCTACCCAAATGTCTGCTGACAAATGGATGGATAGAGAAGGATGTGGGATGTATATATACAGTGAGCAATGAACGGATAGAGAGGGATGTGGGACGCATATATACAGTCAGCAATGAACGGATAGAGAAGGATGTGGTGCGCATATATACAGTGAACAATGAACGGATAGAGAAGGATGTGGGACGTATATATACAGTGAGCAATGAACGGATAGAGAAGAATGTGGTGCGCATATATACAGTGAACAATGAACGGATAGAGAAGGATGTGGGACGTATATATACAGTGAGCAATGAAAGGATAGAGAAGGATGTGGGACGCATATATACAGTCAGCAATGAACGGATAGAGAAGGATGTGGGACGCATACATGCAGTGAGCAATGGACGGATAGAGAAGGACGTGGGACGCATACATGCAGTGAGCAATGGACGGATAGAGAAGGACGTGGGACGCATACATGCAGTGAGCAATGAACGGATAGAGAAGGACGTGGG